ATATATATATATATATGTATTTATATTTTTATCTGTAGGATACTTGGCCTATGCTACCGATAAATGCGGAGCTTAGGCTTGACTTAGACATCATCAGGATTGATACTGACTAAGCTTGACTAGAGCCTAGTCTATCTAAGTCTTGGTTAGGCTAGACTTGCAGTGAGTCTTAGCAAGCTTTAACAGAATTGATAAATTACGCATTCGAGGCTTGTTCCTGCTAGTGCTGTTGCTGTTCCGAAGTGAAAAATAAAAAATAAAAAGCAAAAAATTTGTGGAAACATTTAGATTTATATTTTCTTAATAAGTATTTTCAGCAATATAAGCCTTTCAATCATTAATTGAACTTTTATCAGTAAAAAAGGCCAAAAAGTTAAAGGATATTGCAAATTTGTGCTAGATCAGTAAATGATAAACTTAGAAATTAGACTTTTTCGCTCTTTTTTTTTGAAAGAAAATTAACTTTAAATCTATTTATGGTTCAAAATGTATGAAAAAATTTTATGAAATAAAAAAATTGAAAAAATTTTCAGCTTCGATTTTTGAAAAAGATAAAATTATTAATAAAAACAATTTTGTTGAATGCGAATTTTTACGAAAAAAAAAATATTTTTACACATTTACAAACTTTATGAGTGTTTGTTATTTACACGATTGAAACCTAATTGTGCAAATAACAAACAATGTCAATTTTTATATTTTTTATACATTTTTTTGAAATTATATGTTTTGTAAAGTATTTTATATAATGTGAAAATTAAAAAAAGTGCTCTGAAGCTTTTTAAGGCATTAAATTTTGAGCATAATTTGTGAAGAAAAATAAAAAGCAATAAATTTAATCAAGAATAATTTAATTTTTATTTATGATTTTTATCTTTATCATGCGCATAAATTTTTAAAACGTGTTATCACTTGCGATATCCAAGTGTTATTTTTTCTTTTTATAGCGTTCTATCAAATCTAGTAAAGCATCAGATTCTTACACTTTTCAGCTTCAATGACTTCAATAAAAATTCAAATCTTTTCCAACTTATTAAAGTACGCAAAAAAAAAAAAATTCTAATTTATTATAATCAAAAATAAAAGCGCGTAATGAAAATAGTAAAATCAGTGCTATATTTTATAAAAATAATTTAGAAAAGGAAAAATTCTTCCAAAAACATAAATGATTCTGCAAATAATTCAAATTAAAAAGTAACAATTGACGTCAAACAAAAATAATTCAAAAAAAAAAAAAAATTAGTCTCAAAAAAGAGTTCATCAAAAATTAATTACCAAAACTTGATGCTCTCATAATTACTTTTTTTTAATTTGAATGAGTTAAAAATGATTCATTTATTTTTCAGCAAAACTTTTTAAAAAAAGTAATTAAATAAAGCAAAAACTATCTTTTTAGACACTAAAAAAATCTACGTGTATTTACATGTGTATTTGCGTGTAAATAATACACGTAGATTTTGTTATCTGTAAAATTAAAACATACAAAAAAATATTTCAATTATGGAAATAAATATAATGATTTTGTTAAAGATTAGCAAATTGTATTTGCAACTGCAAATTTTTACAACAAAATGCAAAAAATAATTAGCAAAAATTGTATTGAAATTCATTTTAGCTTATGTTGAACTTTGTAAAAATAATCATCAATAAAATTGCTTAATTGAATACACTTTTTTCAGAGATAAAAAATGCAAAATTTTATAAGTAATATTTTGCAAAAATTGATAACCACTGAAGTGCTTTTATGTAATAAATCTAAAGCATATGTTCAAACGTTATTAGTTATTTTGAAAAAAAAATTTTTTTAGTTATAAATATTGGCAAATATTTAATTTTAAAAATGAAAAAAAGATTTTTTAAATTTTGAATTTTTTGCTATGAATTCATAATTTTCAAAAATACTATTGCAAAAAGTTAAGCCTAAAATTTATATTTTGGATTAGTTTAAGAAAAAATTTTTTTGACTACTTTTGTTCATTAAATTATCAAAGGGTATGAAAATTTTTAAGTAAACAAAATGCAAAAATGCTTGATATTATTGTAAATAAAATTTGCTAACTTTATATTCGTACTTTTTAAAATATGTAAAAAATACGCACAAAGAAATTATGCTTTGATAGCAAAAAAAGTACTATTACGAACATTTATCATGTTTTTTAAAACTTACTAAAGTACTGAAACTTATAATCATTCTGAAATTATTAGCATTTTAAGCTATAAATCTGATAACTTTATCATTACATTACATTACATTACATATTTCAAGCTATCTTGATATGATAAATAATTCGCCAATAAATTTTATTTGATATTATAACAAAGCGTAAATTTATTCTGATAAATTAAAATAAAAAAATTTACCGATCACGTCGATACCACGAATACGAGTAGTAAATCAAGTCAAAATATCCGGGTTGTTTTATTTCACCAATCTTTTTTTGCAAAATTACTGACAAAACGTTTTGAAACAAAGACATATTTGTTCTACGTAATACGTCAAATATTATCCTTTTTTTGTAGAAAAAAATTAGATTTCAGAAGTTTCTTACAGTAATGGAATACAACGAAGAATAATATTGCTAAATCTCAGGTATAGCCACAATTTTTTTATAGACAAAAAATATCCACAAACGTTGTGGATATATTCACTAATGTTCTAAATACTCAGAAATGCTTTGAGTACATAAATATATGCATAATTTTGCTGTAAATTAACAAAAAGGTCAGTCATTATGAGAGGATTTGCGCTAATGGCATCAGCAAAATTAAAGCTTGTTTTTGTTGTCATTAGTTGACCAATTACGTTTACTTTAGGTGATTGACTATTTTAGAAATTAATTTTAAATATTTACAGAGCAATGTGGAGCTTTTAGTGGAAAAGCAAGACTTGCTCATATATTACAGTATAATTTAGTGCCAGTATTATTGTCATAAATTCTGGATATATCCGGCACATCTTATACTTTAGTATTTTTATTTACTATACTCAAAATGCTAATACTTTTTTCAACTCATAAATATGAAGTATTCACACATTACAATATCATAACTACTATAATAACTGCAATAATCTTCGACAAATGTTTCAAATTTTCAACCGTTTGTATAAGAATCTACAGAATAATGAAGAGAAGATATGCTTATTAAATACTAAACTAGTAGTTCAAGTGAAAATATCCCGGTTGTTCAATTATTCAAAAATATTTAAAAGCAGTTTACGTACGAAAGAATTAATAAATTAAGCTAAGCTACGTTTTCATAAAAATATTTGCTATTTTTTAACTATATTAACTCAAAAAATAATTTTAAAACTGAATACACGACATGTTTATGACTATCAATTAAATCTTTAGACAACTTTACCAAAAAAATCTTGATTCTCAAGTTTTGAATTGTATATTTTGTAAAAGTGTAAGATGATGCATAGAAGAAAGAATGCAATCATACAAATAATATTCTTTGAATAAAACAAACAATTTTAAAGATTTAATTAATAATCATAAACAAAATAATAGCAAAAATTAAGATTGTTGAAAAATTTTAAGATTAGGAAAAAGTTAGCTGCTAAAATAATCGACGATATTTCGATTGAAAAATGCTTTGATTAAGTTCATGACTTTGATAATTCCCTTAAGTAGAAGTCAAACCAAATCAAATGACATCATTTCTTTGCTAATTAGTATTTGAGTAATAATCCAAATTAACTTTAAGTAGACAAATCAAATGACATCATTTCACCTATATTCAAGTAACATTTTATGCAAAATATATGTGCATGATAAAAAATAATGCAATGCAGTTATGTATTACAGATTTATACATACCTAACAATTGGACATATTTAAAAACTGATTTTATAATTGATAGTATGATAAAACCTTGACGAATATTTATCATCTAGACCAATTGCATGATTTATTTTAGTTTAGGCATTAGATTTATTGGTTTAGAAAATGAATTTAATCAAATTCGTAACAATTTTCACATTGGAAATTAGTCAAATCATACATTCATATAAGTACATCGAATGACTTCAATAGCAAAAGTTCTGCAAGTATTTACTAATAAAGTAACATATTTATTTATTTATGAATTTATTTATTTTTTATTTACTTATTTATTTATTAAATATCAAAAAGTACCCTCCCACAGCTGGCCAAACAGCGATTTCAGTGACACGTCGCAGTACATCACCCGCACATGGCGTGACCCCCAGAAACTCTTCGCTTTCCCGATTCATCACTTGATGCTGTTGTACATTTTCTGATAATAATCCTTAATGATAGGCAAATTTTTGATGCAAAATAAGATCAAATTGTTGATATTTGTTCTTCACGACATACACATTCAAATTATAATTGAAAATAATTTGCAACTGAAAATTGCTACACATGTAATTTAGTATTCAAATTTAAAAAAAAGAAAGAAAGGAACAATAAAGTCATATTATTTGTACTTGCACTTGATGAAAAGCTTGTAAAAAGTAATTAGTCTATGATTGAAGTAATTTAAATTATTTAAATAAATAGGAATAGAATTGAATTTGACTAGATAAGACTAAGATGGATCGGATGGAGGCATAAATAGACTGATTGATGTGCTGTAGTAGTATCTATAGATGAAAAATTAAACTAATTCATGCATTTGAAAATGTGAATCAAATGTTGTGACGCACAAAAGTATTAGTTGTAAATTGTTGAAAATTCCCAAATGAATATCAGCTAAATCTGCTTTGATTCCGTTATGCCTCTACATGCAAGCTAGAAACGAACTTATCTTATTCATCAGAAGGCTTGCTACTTTCTTCTTCTATTAGTATGGAAAAAAAAATTCAATTTTTGAAATTGAAAATTAAAGAGGAAATCAGCAACGAGAAAAGATGATTTTTAACAAGATCACCAAAAAATTGCACTGAAATTTTTTCTGAAACTTTTTTTAATTGCCTTACGCAGCACTTTTTTCTTTATTTTTAAAAAGTATTTTGTTTTTTGAAATTTTTGAAAAACAAAAAACAGTACTTCAAACTATTGGTATTTATTTTTCATGCATTACTATGTATTTATTATGCTTCTTCTTAACATGCCTGATAGATTTTCACTTCAATATATGCTTACTTACCGGATAACGACAATGAAAATGGATTCACAGATCGCATGGCGGGAACTGGTAGCGAACGTCGAGTATGAACAAATCGAACCGCCATTTTCTTACTCAGATAGCAATTAATAATGATAAAATTGTTCAATAATAGCAGTAATTTACAGAATTTACAGTGATAACGATAATATTCACAAAAACTTTACAGTCCCATATCAGTATGACAAAAAATAAGCATTATAATTGGATGTTTAATACTTATGAGAATACTAAACTTATCTTCATCATTATGAAGTTAATTCCTAGTAAAATATGATTAAAACTTTGTTGATTTTTTCAGAAATATCTTCCCTTCAAAGTATATTTATTTGTAAGTAAAAATAAACATACAAATAAATATAAAACTAATTACTAATTATTAACTTTGTTTATTTTATTACAAAAACTTTAATTTAATACAAAGAACTATGATTCAATGCGATCCGTTGGCAGTTCTGTGAGCAGCTAAATAATGATATTGGCAAAAAAAATTGGCATATTTTTAGCTTAATCTACGAATAAATGAATAACTGAGTAAATGAATGAATAAATAATTAAACAAACAAGTAGATAATTAGATAAATAAGTAAAAATATATAAGTGATTCAACATTATATAAAAAATTTTGTTGATATATATAAAATAACGAATAACTGTTAATAATCTAATTACTGATCTCAAATTTATTATATTATTATTGACTTCAAATCTGATCACTACTGACCTCAAATCTGATCACTACTGACCTCAAATCTAATCACTACTGACCTCAAATCTAGTTTTATTAACTGACTTTTTTTACAAATCTTAGGCTTTATTTAAGAAAAAAAATTCTGTGTTGTGTCCAAAAAAGACTGAAAAGATTTGCTTAGCAAAAATTGAAAAGAATAGAAAGTTGCAGTTTATTCTTCTACTTTTATGCAAGTAAAAAAGTAAGTATTGACACTGATGCTTGTTTGTTTTATTTTTACCACTTTGAATGGGCATTCTTGTAAAAAAAATTTGTCAATTTCATATGTTTTTAAATATTAAAATTTTGCTTTATAACATTTTTCTCAATTCTTTCCAATGAATATTTCTTTCAGTCTATTTTATTTTATTTTATTTTTCTATTTTTTACAATTTTTCTGCTTAAATATTTGTAGTATTAGTATTAGTTTTTTAATTTACTTTTCTAAATACACTATTTTAGTTTGCATTATTCATGCATGAATTGAATTTTTCATTTTAGAATTTTCATTCAATAAATTCTTATAGCAGTAAAAGTGTTAAGAAAGCTTAAGGATAAAGCTAGCTTAATATGTATTTTATATAATAATCTTTTTTTATTTTTAATAATTTAGACTAACAATGTTTTGTATCATCACTAGTATACTTTTTACGCTGAGTATATAACTTTGAGTTACTTTTTGCAGTACTTTTCCTTCAATCGCCCAACAAGTAAGTAGCTTTTAAAAAACTTAAAATGCACAAAAATATAGAAAATAAGTTATATGAATACGTAAATATTAGCGTTTTTACAAGTTTGCATTAAAGTTTTAATTACAATTGACCGATCCCACTCAGCTAGATTTGATTCTACCGATCCCACTCAGCTAGATCTGTCTTAACTTAAGTTAAGACCTAAGTTTCTTTAATATTTTCATATTTAGCTAAGACCTGCTGAGTTAAGACCTTCAGACCTAAGACTCTAACCTAAGTTATGACAGTAGAACCAATCTAGCTAAATATGAAAATATTACAGTAAGTTATTCCATAAAATAGAAGAATTTTTCAGGAAAAAAGTCAATTTATGAATAAAATAAGAAATTATTTTTTAGCTTTAATTTTTTAAAGATGAACTTATTTTAATTTTAAACAAAAATTTAGCTTTAATTCATTTTTGCTCGTTGCAATCACGCATCATTGCAAATCTAGAATTCCATTTACTTAATAATTTCTCACACTTTTATGCAAAATTATTTCATATCACAAAATTTTATTACAAGCAATGATTGCATATCAGTAATCAGAACTTACTCGTTTTAGATAATTTTGGATTCAAGCAAAAAGATTACTTTTTGCTTAAATTAAATTTGCATTAGCTAAGTATATTAGCTATTCAATATTTTTTTAACCAGTGCAAATAAGGAAGCAAAAAAGTTATAATACTTATTTGCTGCCAGTTGCTAGCACTTAATGAGCATTTTATAAAGAGTCTTTGGATACTTTTACAATTATAATTTTATTTTTTTCTTTCAATTTTTTTAATTTTTGCATATATCCACATAAATGAATCGAAAATATTTAAATTAAAATGTAAAAAAGTTGGAAATAAAATCTTTACTTACTCACAAAAACAATTTTCAAAGTTAAGGCAGATATAACTACTTCTGAGCACTATATAACTAATTCTAAACATAATGTAACTAATTCCTAGCATAATGTGACTAATCTCTAGCATAATATAACTAATTCTTAGCATAACATAATTAATTTTAGCATAATTATCGGTAGGTACAATTAATTTCTAGCATAATTTCGCTTGGTTCAACAAATAAGAAAAAATTCAGGTTTCAAAAAAATTTATTATCCACAATATATCATTTTATATTATTCTTGTTTCTTGAATTTTTATGGCAGTTAGAAAGCATCGAATTTGCATAGTAAGCAAAATCAAAGTGAATTACTAATTTTAGGCTTACTTTTTTAGATAATAAAATGTTTTTAATTTGTATGCTTTTTTTTAAAAATACAAAAAATATTAAGAAAATTTTTTCAAAATAAATACTTTATTTTAAAATTCATAATACAGTACATAATACAAATCAAAAGTAGACGTAATAAAGTCTATCTTTTAACTTTAATACAACTAAAATAAAATTGCAATAATGCAGTTAGTTAAAAATGAAAATGCAACTAAATAGCAAGCACTAAAAGAGAATTAAAAAATTTTATTTTTTAATAATTTTTCAATTTTCCATCCATCAAATTAATTAAGTAATCGTATGCAAATAACATATGCAAGAATTTATATAAAAGTAATGAGATAGAAGAAAAAGTAAGCATTAAGTGAGATTTGTTGTAAAATGTCAAAGCTATCTTACTTTCCTCTTTTATATACTTTTTTTTTTGCTTATTCTATTAATTACTTTTTAGCCAAATTATATCTCACAACTTTTTAACGAATACTTTGGTAATATCATAAAGCTTGCAAGATTAATGAGCTAAATAGCATATTTATATGTTTTTTTTCAAAAAAAAATATTAATGATATAAGCAAAATTAGATTCGGATCAGTAGTAAGGAAGAATAATTGCGGATAAGAATTATTTTAATACTGAAAATTTTCAGTATTCTCCAATGTCATTATTATTATTGTTATATAAAGGCAAAATCAAGCCTTATATATCCCACAACTTTTTAACGAATGCTATGGTAATATCACAAAGCTTGCAAGTACTGATGTTAATGAGCTAAATAGCGTATTTATATTTTATCTTATTTTTTTTATCAGAAAAATATTAATGATTTGAACAAAATTAGACTTTTTCTAACATCAGTACTTTTGATAAATTTTTAATAATAATCAGTGTTAATTTTGTAGTTATGATTTCATGATGACATTAATAAACAATTTTACATTTACTTACCTTTCTTTACCTTCAAAAAGTGAACACATGAAAAATAACAACTATGAATTTTTATAAAGTAATATAGAAGATTTATTAATAAAACTAGTCACTACATTTTATATATTACACTGATGTAAATTTGCATATTTTTATAAAAAGGCAATTTGTAAATAAATATAATAACGATATTTTTTAAATATGTTGAATGAATAGTCAGGTATATCCTAATTTAAAAAATAATTAAGTATGCAAATTCCATTCTATTTTTTATAATATACTATTTAAATGTTTATTTTGACACTATTGAAGTACAAAATTGATGCAAATATTTGTATTTAACAAAAGATTTTTGCAAACTTAAAGTTTATTTTAATAGCTAACTTTATTGTTTTACGTAAATATTGATGAATAGCAATTTCTGTACTGCGTATATTACATTGAAATGCATCTGATAATATCTTAAATGAATCATTTGAAAAATCGAAGACTTTCGAAGATTCAAACGTGAAAATATATCAATATTTTTTTAATTAAATGCAGAAAATTCTTTAATTATAGTTGGATAATAACTTCATAGGAAAAGAACTAAATAATGAATTTTTAGAAGGTATAGTTGTTAATTTTTTACTTAAAAACAATTAGTAAAATTTTTCTAGCAGAAAACAAATATTGTCTAATCAATACAAATCCATCGGTACTTTTTGTATTTTAAGCATACATAGCAAAAATTATAAAATATAATTATTTACAAGGCTTAAGTGTATACCAAAAAAATAAGTGACAATTTTAAAAATGATTAATTTAATTTATATCTTTTTATTATTTAATATCAGTAATTATATTACTTAGTAAATATATATTAATCACAAATTTTCGTAATAAATAATAAGAAAAATTAATAGCACCGAGCAATTTGATAAAATTAAAATTAAAATTTACTGCTCAAATAATAATAAAATTCAAGCGCAGTGTATTTTAATTTATTTTTTGATTTTAAAATTGTGTCCAAAAAAAAGTTCGGATTTGTAATAATTAACTTACTGTGGAAATTGTGATTTTTCTTTGATCTTCTCCATTAATAGTGCGCAAGTTTTGGCATCGCTTGCATTCACAACCCTAAATTTTTTTTCATTATAGAATTTCATTTCTGATTTTTATTCAATTATCTTTTCAAAAATTTTTTCGACTGATTAACTACAAAAATAACAAAATATGAAGAAAATTTCAAAAACTGGCTCTATTTTTAAAAGTTAAGACTAAAGTTTTATAAGATTAACCTTTTAAAACACTTTCAAATTACTGAATAAGTCACAACAAAATAAGCTAAATATAAGAAGTGAAAAAAGTCGTTTTACCTAAGCATAAATGCATTTTTATATGAATAAATTTCTGCTTATCAAAATTAATAATATTTTCAACAAATTTCAATTTATTCAAAAATATATAAAAAAAC